GAATTTGATGATAGTTGGAGATATATTTAACTAATAATTCATAATTTATAATATACTAATATATCTCAAATGTGGAAAAGTAGAGATTATTTGTATCATAACATTATTTTAGAACAGACATTAATTCAGTGTTCAATAGAAAATTGTTCGAGTATGGTAAAAAGATATATATATTTGGTTCAAATACAAAGAGTTCTTCCCATGCAAAGTGAAAATGAATCTTTTGCATTCATTTCCACATCTAATGGTTCAAAATGAGAAAAAAAAGCACAAAATTCGGCCAAAATCGCGGTGACATTTTCGTAATTATGTAACACAAACATGAAAAAGTGCAAGCGAAACTTGAAAAAGTGCATATCTTCGCACTTTGCACGGGGAGGTCTTTTTATTTGAACTCTTCCCTATATATGTATGTATGTGTGTGTGTATGTATGTATGTATGTATGTATGTATGTATGTATGTATGTATGTATGTATGTATGTATGTATGTATGTATGTATGTATGTATGTATGTATGTATGTATGTATGTATGTATGTATGTATGTATGTATGTATGTATGTATGTATGTATGTATGTATGTATGTATGTATGTATGTATGTATGTATGTATGTATGGGGATGAGTTCAAATGAGAAGACATCTTAATGTGTAAAATGAGAATTAATCTCAGCCGTCCAAACTGCCGATCTGATGCACAATAATCCTATCTGATGCACTTTCGAATAGACCTTATTTGATGCATTTTTCGAAAAGAAATATGCTCAATTTACAAAAGCAATTAACATAAGATTAATTAAATAAATTATGTACCAGTATTAAAGATTCTAACCATTTAGACGCATATCTATATACTAGTGTTTTACCCGGGCGTTACCCTGAGCGAAAGTTGTGAATGTTTGAATACCTTATAAAATATATATTTTTATAGAATAGAAAAACAAATAATCGTTTTACTTCAAATAAATTTTTGTTGATTGTGAATAGTAATTAATCTAAACAGAATATATTAAAAAATGACATTGTAATGTGACACTGCACATTACATTGTAACCAAACATCGCATTATTAGGTTTAAATTGGGAAACCTCTTTATAAACGACATTCAATCATCGTCTTAGTGAAGAAATTTGTTTCTTTTGAACATATGAATATCTTAAGATATATTTACGCATTACTCTTGGTATTGCAATGTACAATTGATCATTAATGAAACTTCTCTTTCAAGGTATAAATCATATTTTATGTGAGACATTTTTTTTGGCAAAATTTAGCCTTGACTTTTATTGATTATCATTGCAAAGCTTACCATCACAAGAAATTGCTTTATTCGAAATTGAATGAAGTTGTCATATGGTGACAATGAGATTTTTAATAAATAAACTTTATCTTTCATAACTTTTCAAATTATGACTTGTCATACTTGTTTTTTCATTGGTTATGACCAATTACATTCTATTGAATAAAACTTATGCATTATCGGGACTCCGATTTTCAAATGAAGGACTTGGTTGGCCAATCCAACCATTGAAGCGCTATTAAGATCATATTCGACATTGTGCATATCAACATGGAAAGTAGTATCAGTGTGTGAAGGAATAATATTAATTGAACTAATATATGTAACTCCTAGGCCATCGATCAACGATAGCAAGTAGTTAGTTACTCATGATGTTTGTTGGTGTAACGTCTAAAATCTTAGAACATGCCTCGTATATCAGCACAACTTCATCCCATATTCAAAGAGGCGGCGTGCAACAATTTTGTCTTCACACTTCCTTGATGAATATTGTAGGTAATGCGACAATATTTATGGGAATAGGATATTAAAAGATGAGTTGGAATTAGCTTTAGAAGACGTATAGATGGAGTTTATTTAACAATATATATGACTAATAATAATTACTTGCACTGTGCATTTTCTACAAATTTTAAGACCCCAACGTGCTCTTGTGATTCCATTTGTTGGAATAAAATGATACAAACTCAATATATATACTAAACATGTTGAATTTTACACTAATCACACATCCTACTTTGGTTATATTTTATTCATTAATGTATTAGACATTTTTGGAAAAAAATTGTTCAGTTCATCCCAAACTAAATTTCCAAAAAGCTCATTTTTTACTTACAACGAATTATATATAGCAATAATCAAAGTAGTGTGTTGGCAAACGTGAAAACAGAAGTGTTGTAACTATAAAAGAACGGAGAAAATGTATTAAAGAGAAACTTTTCGGAAGCATACAGTTGGCCATGTCATTATTATATACTTCTAATGAAGACAATTAATTTTTTAAGATGTAATAGAAAATACTAATCCCATAATTTTTTTGAGAATATAAAAATATGGATAAATATGATTTATATTTATTTAGGAGAATCACACAATTTGTATGTACTCACAATTTACTTACTCCCTCCGTTCTGAAAAGATTTGTCAAATTGACTTTTCTTGGTCAATAACAATCAACTTTAATAAAATATATTTTTAATGCAAAATTATTTAGAATATGAAAGTTATATCAAAATGTCCCTTATTCAAAATATTTTCATAAAAGTATAAAATTAATAAATTATACTCCCTTATTGACTTCATAATTAATAAATTATACTCCCTTATTTCAACTTTAATAAATTATATTTTCATAATAAGTTATATCAAAATGTTCCTTATACAATATAATAATTAAAATCATTGTCTCAAGTTTGCCATCATTGATAAAAAACAATAACAATGCTGAACCTTTTCGGGACAGAGGTAGTATTATATTATACTTTATCAATACTTTTTAAATTTTTTTAATTTGAAAATCTCAATTCGTATTTTTAAATTCTTCTCCTATATTAAGTGTGATTTGAAAGGTAGTTTTGTTAGTAAATAAAAATGTAAAATTTTAAAATAAATGAGAAATTTATATCAATTAGTTTTTCATCGTTATATCTTATGTTTAAAATACACAGACATTTTCGTCGCATATTTTTCAACAGAAACTATTGTTTTAATTGGGTATCCTATCAGGAAAACTAATTCGATCTGGAAGTCAATTAAAAAAATTATTGAAAAACACTACGTCAAAATATTTATATATAAAATGCAGTACTTTTCAATAATGTATTTAACTGACTTATCAATCGAATTTTAAGATGAAATTTTGTGGACATAATCTAAACCTCATGAAGAACATGCTAAAAAAATCATCAAAAAAACCACCAAGAACATCCTCAAATTGCGACGGCTAGACGGCGGTTCTACTCCGGAATTCCGGTGGTGAACTTTTCTCCTCCGTAATATATATAAATACTATGAATTTAGGACTTAATTGCAATTAATATAATGAATGTTCACTATTTGGACTCAATAGTAATCAAATGAGTAAATACTATGAATTTAGGACTTAATTGCAATTAATGACTATTCACTAATTGGACTCAATAGCAATTAATTGAAAATTCAATTTCAATTAGAAGGTTCTACTTTATTAGTAAGGAAGTAGATGACTTGTCCTAATGTTTTTCTAGATCTTTGTAGCATTACTAGTGAAAATACTTCTACGACATATTGAAATTATGTGACTTAGAATGGTTATCTGACTATAATTGAAGTGTACGATGGTTGCCCTAGGAAGTGTGTATTTTACTTGGAATATCAGGATAAGTGTTTTAATTGTCTATGTTGTAAAGCTATTGCAAGATTGGCCTTTTACTTCAATAACTTGTTTGTACTATGCTTTTACTTGGATTAATTTTATCTTTGCAAGGTATCCAAATCTAAAGTTCCCAAAGCCACCTTCCTATCTAATATAGCAATATAGTAGTTATCTATTGAATTTCGTAGATGGAAGTTAAGTATTGTTTAGACAATATATTACTTTTTTGTTTCTATTTCTTCAATTATGTATGACAAATAATTTTTAATAAAATCTTTGTTACTTAGTTTTTTTCTTGCTCCAGGGGTTGGGGGACTGGAGTAATCAGGGTTGAAACTCAGTCCATTGAGTTTCGAACTCGAGACCTCTCGTTAGGGAAACTGAGTCGGCGACCAGCTGTGTTACTTAGTATTTAATGATTCCCTATCAAATTTGTAATTATAGTAACTAACTAACTGATGTAGCTTATAAATTTCAACTATAAATTCTATGTATGTGACACCACACCCGAACGTCCTTGAAAATTCAATTAAAAAAAAATTGAAAGTCTATGTATTGAATTTCCGATTTCTAAACAATTGTAAAATGATTAATGTTCTACGTAGCGCATAATTGATTATTGTACTGTTCAAACTCGTATATTAGTGTCGGGTTTGCAAATACTTATTTGGGCCTTATTAATGAAAGTAAGAGCCCAACATTACCTAAATGATGTTACATAACCTTTCAAGACAAGTTGAGGAAGGTCGGGCGGCCCAAACTTTATTTTGGGCCCAACCTGCTAAAAGTAGCAAGTATTCAAGAATGGCGTCGTAGGCCCACTCGGGGTGACCCACACGAGTAGTAGTCCAATAATATGAATGACAATGTCAAAATAAGTGATAGAATGATTAGAGAAGAATACAAATGCCTATGGTCCCATCTTTGGCATTATTGAGCTAAATAATGGGAGTATGTTGTTTCTTCTATAATATTCATCATGTAAATTATTGGGTTGATCCTACATATATTTGGGATCAATAATATGATGTAGGGAGTTGACTTGTTCCATATAAATAATAATGGGTACAAAAAGACATCTCATGACAAAGATAAAACAATAGGACCTATCTTTCCATTTTTGGAAGTATTGGTAGATATTATGGACCCCAAATGGATTGGGATCACTTGGAGAACACCCCACACCTTCTTGGCACCTGCAAAATGAAGAGAATAAGTTAGAAATTTGTATGGGGCGGACAAAAGAGGGAGGTGGCTGAGCAAAACATTAATTGGAAATCAAATGGACCCCCTCCCCATCTTTTTGATTCGAAAAGCATCTTACTCCATCATCCCACATGCCAACCCACACTCATTGACTTTTGAGGCCAGGATAGAGGCAAGATAACACCCCCATACCCCTCATTCGGACTCCAAAGGATCTCTGGAGAGAAGAGAGCCACACAACCTAAAAGAGCAAGGAGAAAGCAAACTGCCCGCAGGTTTTTCCTCCAGTGCAAGGGTTGCTTGTTTGGTGCATAACTTGAGCTTCACTCGTCCAAATAAGACGTATAATACACCAAAAGAAAGCTCTCAAGACGGGGAATCCGTGAAGGTCTGGTTTGAATCAATCGTAGTAGTGGAAGGCTTCCAAATCGTCCGAGAAGAACACGACCTCGCAGAAACGGATTTACTCTTCTAAGTGAGTTTTAACCCCAAAACCTTTCCTTTCATTTTCCCAATGGTATGAACGATTTGTGGAACTATTATACACTACTCCAAGTGTATAATATGCCCTTGTTAAGTCATTTTATTGGTGTAAAGGTTAGATACTAACCTAGAGCAAATCTTGGAAAAACTAGGAAACGAGTTCGCCGGAAAACACCCATTTGAGGGGCTGTTTTCGTATCGAAGTTTAGGGGTTGAGCTAGCACTTTGAGGAGTCTGTTTAACACTCATATTTAAGCAAGGAATCAGTTCTTAATCCACCTTGACCGAAGCTTTGACCATTGGATCAAGAAGGAAAAGTTTAAAGCTCAATTAAGGTGAGATCGACATCTAATTGCTTACAACTTGTAGGTTAAGCATGAGATTACATAAATGCCTAAATCATAATTTTTCATGGATTATGATGCTTAAATATTGATGAACTATTGATATAGTTGACAAAGAATGAAATTGGAAATGGTTTGAGATTGTATGAATAACATGAGATTAAATGAGTTATAAATGAACTATTTTGTGAAATAGACATTTTACTCATGTATGAATTATGTGGATACATAAATGAATATTTATGTATTGAAATTGAGTACTTAAGTTGCTGCTACATACTTATAAATATGTAGAGAATTACAAAATGAGGATATTCGTATGATGACAATAATCTTAATAGTATTGAAATACTAGTTAGTGATTATTTGAAGTTGTAGATAGAATTGATCCTAAGTATTGGATTGTATGAAATGCACTTGAATGTACCTCAAGTGTATAGAATGACTTAGTATGAAGCTAAGGGTAAGTTATGGGCAGTCATTAAGAATGACCCAAGGTAGATTATTGAGATGTCAATTCTAGGCATAGGGTTGCTTAGGAATTGGACTATAATGAGGAATTAGAGCCGGACTCTATGATTTGCATGGAAATGTAGTTGGTCCGAGACCTTGCCACGTAAATTGTGATTTTCATAGAAATGTAGTTGGGCCGAGCCCTTGCTATGCAAATGTGATAGGATGTAATTGTGATTTGCATGGAAACGTAGTTGGTCCGAGACCTTGCCGAGTAAATTGTGATTTGCATAGAAATGTAGTTGGGCCGAGCCCTTGCTATGCAAATGTGATAGGATGTAATTGTGATTTGCATGGAAACGTAGTTGGTCCGAGACCTTGCCATGTAAATTGTGATTTGCATAGAAATGTCGTTGGGCCGAGCCCTTGCTATGCAAATGTGATAGAATGTACTTGACATAAAGGATTGCATAGAAATGTAGTTGGGCCGAGCCCTTGCTATGCAACGGTAATGTGATGTACTCTATGAGTTGTCGTGAGTAGTAGTCACGGGGAATGGGAAATGGTGATTTCTAAATAAATATGGGCCTACGGGCCGACTACTTGACTTTTATATAAAGTAAGTATATTTTTAAATGGGGTAACTTGAGGTTGCAGTCATATCGTACTATCACCCTATTTGAGGGTCTTTTGTTTGAAATACTTGTTGTATATCCCTTAGATGTCATCCACACCAGTACTTTATAGCCCTATAGAGTACTGACCCCTTCGGGGGCGTCCCACCACCATTTCAGGTTGAGGCTAGAGCTTGCTTCTTGTGCTCGTTGATTGAGTGATTCCCCGGGGAGAAGACTTGGTTCGTGCTTCCCCCATTCTGATTTGAACACTAATAAATCTGTTCATGGATATTTTACTTTAGAGCCTGCGTGCTCATGTTTGCCCCGTGCGGTATTTGATTTCAACTATGTTTTCCGTTGCGTATTAAATTACTTATTATGTATGTTTATGGATGTTATATGTGTGAATGATATTCAAGACGCCTTGTATAATACGAATGTGTTGGACTGCGGTTGACTATTCGTATTGTACGGCGGGTTGTTGACGTGTCCGGGGAGGTCCGGGGCGTGACAATGTATGTCGGGTATGAGTTTATATGTAGGGCTTACTTCTCTGATCAATCCTGGATTTGTATTTAAGAGTTTTTAAAATAACTATGCAGTTTTTTGCATTATTAAAGTTACTCTAAATCTTTTTAGTTAACAATGGGTGATGACAATTGGTTGGGACAACCAAGGTATAGTGAAACTTATGTTAATGGAGTGAAAGATTTTATCAAAAATGTATTTTAAAGTTATTCCCCAAGAGATCAGTGTAGGTGTCTGTGTAAAAGATGCGACAATCGTAAGTGACTCATGATGTTTCACGAATGCAAGATTTCAATGCAACTGTTCACAAAACTATTAGAAGTGAAGAGTTTGATGATGGGCTAAATGAGATGTTGCACGCCACTTTTGCATATGAAACATAAAATAGTAGGTTGAACCGTTGAAGGCAGGGCCAAATGCAGATGCAATTTTATATATAAACTTCTTGATGAGGGAAAACAACCATTGTATGAAGGTTGTGAAAAGTGTTTCAGATTAAGTTTCACAGTTAGGCTTTTCCTTTTCAAGTGTACGCATGGAGTTATCGAAGTTGCATTTTCTGATCTTTTAGAAGTGACTATGGATGCTTTTCCCTTTGTTAATGTACCTAAATCTTTTAATGCTGCTAAGAGTGTAATTAAAGATTTAGGTCTAGGTTATGAGAAAATACATGCATGTCCTGATGGTTGCATGTTGTTTTAAGCTGACAATCAAAGTGAAGACATGTGAAAAACTTGTGGTGCATTGAGGTGGAAATTAACAGAAGGTGAATCTGTTAGCGGGGATGATCACACTAAAATAAGATGACTAAAGTACGTAGCTGCGGAAGTGATGAGGTATTTTCCTCTTAAACCAAGATTGCAACGAATGTATGTATATGTGCAAGGAGTTCTCTGAAAGTATGATATGACATGCAAGAGATCGAAAAGATGATGGGAAGTTAAGGCATCTAGCGGATGGTCAGGCTTGGAAGGTAATGGATGCTAGGTATCCACAGTTTTCACTTGAACCCCGCGATGTTCGATTTGGTTTAGCTTCTGATGGGTTTAATCCTTTTCAAACAATGAGCATATCTCATAGCACATGACCGTGTTGGGCATTAAGGAAAAAAATTTAATTCTTTCAACACTAATTCCTAGACCTAGTTCTTCTGGGAAGAATATTGATGTTTAGATGAAGCATTTAATCATTCTAATTTGTAAAGCACCTACCATACTACATTCTATAAATACTTTCTAAACTGTAAAGCACCTACCAAGATGCAATTAAGGAAATTAAAAAAGTGCTTTAAGAGATATTGAACAATGGTCTATTTTAATTTTAAATGTTTCAATTTGTGCCAGAACAATGGTTTTTGAATAATATTAAAAGCATCACAATCTTAGTGCAAAAGTGTTGCAATATCAAAGTATTATATTTGCATTAAAAAGTGTTGCCTTACTCTTTGAGGAATGATGTTGCCTTAGCTGGAATGGTTGCAACACTTTTTAATTTGTTGCCATAGACCCCAATGGCAACGGCTAAAATTTCAACACTTTTAAAAATGGAAATGTTTTGCCATTGATCCTAAAGCAACACATTAGAGGTGTAAATTAAAAAAATTTGTATCATTTGTATGAAATCCATAGATTTATGTAAAGGAAAAATTGATACTAATAATCCCTACCATTGGCGGTCCGCTCATAATAATTCCAACTATCGATTATTTCAGAATAATCCCAACTTTAGAGATCTTTCCGCCAATAATGGTCCGCTGTGACTGACTATAAATAAATTTCTATATATAGTTTCTAAAGTGGATGAGAATAGATATAGAAGGTAATCCCATAAATAATTCCAACTTTAATTTTTAAGCTTAAATTCAGTTAAAAATTCACTTGTTATAGCAGGTAGCATCCGGTCATGAATCATTATTGACAGACGGTCTATATAATTGGGATTATACAAAAATAATCAATAGTTGAGATTACTGTTAGCGAACCATCAATAGTTGGAATTATTATTTTCAATTTTTGATTATGTAAATCAATTGAATTCATTCCTAAAAGATCTATGAATTTAAAAGTCTATGAATTTTTAAAAAGTCATCGCAATATGACCTACATCAATTGAGTTGCTATTGTAGTTGCTACTGTTGTACACGAGGTTTAACACTATCACACTGGAGTACTTCCAGGTAGGGCTGGTTTCGGTTCGAGTCCCAAACCGATCTGACCAACCCGAGGACCGAACCAATTTTTCGGTTTCCCCAAAAATCAGAACCGGAACCAAACCAATGAAGGATCAGGAACCGATTAATCGGGGCCCAAATTTTCAGGTGGGTTTATCGGAAACCAATAAAAAACCGTCTTTTTAAAAAAATAAATAAATATTGAACTGATTTTAACAAAACTAAGCCCAAAACAAGCTTAAGATCATTATTCATTAGATCATCCAAGCCCATCAATTGAAGCTTACCCGTTAGTTAAAATAGCTGGAAGATGTCCTTATATAAAACATTTTGGAAGAGTTAGCCGTCACTTTTCCGGTGTGGGACAAAGTGGCGTTGCAAAGAAAACTGAATGTAAAAATTAAAACTTCATCCAAGAATAGATCTCGCGACCTCTACAAGTGGCATCTCTCTACGCGACCAACTCACCAACACGTTCCACTCGTTGTAATTGGGCCCGCAATGCTAATATAACTGTGATTCTTCTAGTTATTATTGCTGATAATAATAATAAAAATATATTAACAATCATTATTATAAAAAATTATCGGTTCGGTTCGGTTTAAACCAATTTCTTAGGAATATAAACCGAGTCCGAACCGTTTTTTATTGGGTCCCAACGGGTCCCAATTTTCAATCGGTTCGGTTTTTTTCAAAGCGGTTCTGTTGTCGGTTTTTCGGTCTGAAATGCCAGCCCTACTTCCTGGTAGATAATGCGATCGTTATGTTATTTAATAAAATTAAATTGCATTGTTGTGATTTGTTTGGAAAGGATATAAAAATATATATCATCTTCAATACACTTATAAATATAAAGATGAATTTGAGAGTGATGAAAAATAAAAATAAATACTTCGTATTTGAATTAGACATTAAATTTCATACGGAGTATTTCTTTTCATAAAGTAGAGTTTACACTAATCTTTAATAGAAAAGATGATAGCTTCACTCGAGAGCCCATATATACTCTATCATAAGATATGAAATACTCATTTCATCTCAAATTGATTTACAAAGTCGATCTTTTCTGGTGAATCAATGTGAAAGTTAAATTCTCCATTTGATAATTAGTTCATTTTCTAATAACTAAAATATGCATATTCAAAAATTATATTAAAATCTTTTCAAAGTTGCAAACTCAAATTAGATTATAATTAAAAGTTGACATCTTAATTAAGTTAATAAAATGAATATGTTTAATTACTTTAAAAACAATCAAAAATTCAATTTTGTACATCAATTTGAGACAAAGTTAATATAAAATACTACGTATGATACAAGTGGCGGGCGGAAGTGTGAGTAGAAGAAGATGGCGGAAGGGGGTGAAGCTGTGCGTGAAGGTTGCGGCCTTGCAGAAACAGAGGGTGGAAGAGAAATGTGGTAGAGATGGAAAGAGAGAGAAAAAAAAGAATTGGGAAAAATGAAAATTGCCATGTAGGATAACACATAACTGGTTAATATGCTCCCTTTTCGGGTAAAGAAGAGGATCGGATTTGATTATTTTTTTGTTGTTCATGGGTTTGATTGGATGTTCTTCTAGTTTAGGGTTTCAATTCACTTTTTTGAAACAATAGGAGGCTTATTTGATAGATTTGGGAAAAACTGTTAAATAGGTTCTCGAACTTTCATAACAAGATCAATTAAGTCCTTATATAAGAGGTTCTGTCCGACTGTCGAGATTTGGGGTTGTACCCGGTGGAATTTTTTGATGGAAACTTTTGACCATCTTATTCATCAAGTCTAGTTTACTCATACCAAATTTCAGCTAAAACTTCAATCGGGAACACATTCAAATTAATTCCTGAAGATAACTGTGCAGTTAAATTCGCAGTTATCTTCAAGAATTAATTTGAATGTGTTCTCGATCGAAGTTTTAGCTGAAATTTGGTATGAATAAACTAGACTTGATGAATAAGATGATCAAAAACTTTCATAAAAAAATTCCACCGGGAACCACCCGAAATCGCGACGGCCGAACAAAGCCTCCTATATAAGGACTTATTTGACCTTTTTATGAAAGTTCGAGAACCTATTTTACAGTTTTCCTGATAGTTTTCTCTTCATTATTTTTTTAATTGTTTCTAACTATTTTTATATGGTTGTGTAGTTGACCTTTATGATATTTAGACTTATAGATGTTACTTTACATAGTTTTTGTTAAAACTTATTTTTTCATAAAATTGATAAATATCATTAGTATGAAATCCATAGATTTATGTAAATCAATTGAAATCATTCATTAAAAAAATCTATGAATTTAAAAGTTTATGATTTTTTTAAAATGTCATCGCAATCCGTCCTACATTGAAAGCATGGTATACCAAGGTCACCATACACTCTCTCATATGAGTAACTACTATAGTGTACTCATGACTCATGAGTCATGAGTGTGGTGTGCGTCAACACGAGGTTTGACACTGTCACACTGGAGTACTTCCTGGCAGATAATGCGATCGTTACGTTATTTAATAAAATTAAATTGTATTGTTGTGATTTGTTTGGAAAGAATATAAAAAAATATGTAATCTTCAAATCAGTTATAGATATAAAGATAAATTTGAGAGTGATGAAAATAGAAATAAAATATTCAAATTAGAAGTTACATTTCATATTTCTTTTCATAGAGAGTACACCAATCTTTAATAGAAAATATGATAGCTTCACTTGAGAGTATACTCGATCATAAGATATAAAATACTCCTTTCGTCTCAAATTCATTTACAAAGTCGACCTTTTCTGATGAATCAATGTGAAAGTTAAATCCTCCATTTGATAATTAGTTCATTTTTTAATAATTAAAATTTACATATTCAAAAACTACATTAAGGATGGATGTGAGGAAACCCTTAAGGAAGAGCTCTACCCTTTCGAGAGGAGGTGTGGGTCACTGGGTGGACTTAAATGTGAACAGTTACCTAATTTCTGTTTCATTTATGGGGTGATTGGACACTCTGAGAAGTTTTGTCCCTTGAAATATGAGGAGGGTGTAGCTTTGGAAAAAACTTTTGGGGTTGAACTTCGAGTAGGAGGGGGGGGGGAGACTAGTCCCACAAGGGGCAATAAGTGGCTGGTAGAAAGACATGTGGGTTCAAGGCAACAGAGGAGGAGTTTTCAAGAGCGTGAAGGCACCAAGGGACAAGGAAGAAGAAATGGGACAGAGCATAGGGGTACCAAAGAAGAAGGCACTCGAAGTGCAGGGGAAGTATCAGTTGATTAGAAACGCAGAAGGATATGGGAGGAACATGCAGAAGAGGACACATCAGGAGAGAAGATGGCTCTGGATAAAGCAAAAAACGGGGAGGCGGCGGGTCCGAGTTCTTAGACCCGCCGGTCCTAAGAGTGTCGTTGTGGCTGAAGAAGTCAAACTTTTGTTTTAACTTTATTGCTGTTTTTCATTTTAATTTTCACGCTGAGACTGTCGTTTCTGGTTTTTATTTTGTTTGGTTCTGTAAGACTTTTGCATTAGGAATGAGTAATGAGAGTTCTGCGGTAACCGTCATTGGCTCATTTATGCCCATTTTAGGATCAATGAGTTATATTGTTTTGTCAAAGGTGATTAACTCAGAGTCTGGCCTAAGGGCGGATAATTAATTACTTGTGGTACTTTTATTATTTTAACCCCTATCTAAATGCTATAATTTTAATCTAAGTCCTTTCTTCTAAAAAAAAGTTTATGAATTTTTTAAAATGTCATCGCAATCCGACCTACATTAAAAGCATGGTATACCAAGGTCATCATAGACTCTCTCAAATGATTTACTACTGTAGTGTACTCATGAGTCACGAGTGTGGTGTGCGTCAACACGAGGTTTGACACTGTCACATTGGAGTACTTCCTGGCAGATAATGTGATCGTTACGTTATTTAGTAAAATTAAATTGTATTGTTGTGATTTGTTTGGAAAGAATATAAAAAATATATAATCTTCAATTCACTTATAGATATAAAGATAAATTTGAGAGTGATGAAAAATAGAAATAAAAATATTCGAATTAGAAGTTAAATTTCATATTTCCATAACGTTTACACCAATCTTTAATAGAAAAGATGATAGCTTCACTTGAGAGCCCATATATACTCTATCGTAAGATACATAGTATAAAATACTCCTTTCGTCTCAAATTTATTTACAAAGTCGACCTTTCTGGTGAATCAATGAGAAAGTAAAACCTCCGTATTGATAATTAGTTCAATTTTTAATTTTTTAAATTTATATATAAATTTTTGAAAGTTGCACACTCAAATTAGATTGTAATTAAAATTCACATCTTAATTAAGTTAATACAATGAATCTAATAAAAAATGTCAATTTTACACATCAATTTGGAATGAAGTTAATTAATACTCCGTAAGAAGTAGGGTATGTTTGGCACCACTAGTTGAAAAGATATTATTATAAACTTTTTAGTAACTGTTAGCTTTTAGTGACTGAAAATATTTTAAAAATAAAAGATGGCAGCTGTTTGGTGAAAAACTTACTGTTTTATTTAGTTCTGTTTGGTATACAAGCTGTTAGGACTAATTAAAATAAAAGTCACGGACTTTTCTCGGATGCTACTCTCTGTAGCATCTCAAAAAAGATCTTTTAATTTTCGAAAAGCTTTTAAAAATTGTCATGCCAAACATACTACAAAAATCTTTTAAATACTTTTTAAACAGTACAAAAGCTAGAAGGCAGAGACTTATATCTGCTAAACATTCATTTATACGTTACATATGACTAGGTGAACATCGAAGATACAATGGGTAGTGACCTAGTAGGTAACCCGGTACTCCACACGTTAATGGTGCGGGATGCCAAACAAAAAGCAGACCCTTCTGCAGTACGGAATGTTTAATTTCTGCATGGCATATTTGCCATTTTCATACAACCAAATTCTTCTTCATCTGCAAGACTGCAGCTACCCAAAGTTGCATCATAGACCTCTCCTCCACTTCTATAAACTTATTAATGTATTAAAAGAACCGCCCCGAAAAGAATCAAAAAATTGACCCCTTTGCACATTTTCTTTGATAATCTCCTCTGCGGCAGGAGGCAGCTAAAGCGACACTCTATTCTCACAAGCTTCGCAGTAATGGCTCCCCGAGGAAGACCCAGAAAAGTTCGCTCTTTTCCCCCCCATTTCCTTCAGAACTTACTTTTTATGTTTTTCACGAGGTTTCTTAGCGTCTCCAATGCTTTGTCTTCTTTTTTTCGAGACAGAGGTCAACAAGAATGTACGCAGCGATTGATGCGATGCGGAATCTGGGTTTCGATGAGGAAGTCGTTGTCCAAACGGTGAAACAACTTCTCGATGTAAGTCTTTACAAGTCTTCCTTGAAAATTTGTTTGAAATCGTTTTATAAAAGGCTTCCCTCCCCCACCTATTGTGTTGAAATTTAGTAAAGAAGTGCAATTTTTGAGTTTAAGAAGGGTTTTGGTATAAATGTGATGCTTTTATTATTACTGATAGATCTATGGTGGAGAAGATGGTTGGCCATTTATTGAGGAGTATGGTTACAAGGAGCTCATAGATGCAATTCTTCGTGATTCAGAGACACCTAGAGAAGGAAACTTGGAGAAGGTATTCATGTATCTTAGCTTCTTGCCTTATGTAGATATTCTAATGGAAGCGTTATCCTGTTCATTGTTAGTCAAATGTATGTTCTCTGTCTTTAGCACCTGTTTATCTTTTCAGCTCCAAAATTTGGTTCTATGGGATTAATTTCAAGGAAGGGAAGATTGGATTGTGGTTTTTAGATGTGGGATGATCTGAGTTTGCTAAAACAAATTATGTGGGATGATCTAATGCTGCCAAGCACTTCATTTTTACTTAACTTTGTAGAAACAATGTTTTCCGTCCCACAAAATTTGACCACATTGACCTTTTATGGTCAATGCTAATAAGTTTTGGACAATGATTTGAGTTACCATTTTTTTGTTTTTTAACAAAGAACGTTTTCATATAACTTTCATATTTTAAATAATTTAGACTTAAAAGTACCGTTGATCAAATTTGATCATGATTGACCAAGAAACGTTATGGGGAAATGGGCACAGTTGAAAGTAATAGTTAAGTTTAGGATCTAAACGCAATCATTTGAAGAACGTGCACTGAATTGAAAAAGGGTGAAACAATAGGGGCCAAAAACATATTATTCATAATATTTCTTTAAAAAAGAGAATGTATTTTTTGGGGGAAATTTGTAGGTTGCCAAGCAACCCTAACATCTCGGTGGGGGGACACTGAGAGTAAGGGTAAAGTTAAGGTTTGAATGGCAATGCTTTAGAGAATGAGTGAGGAATGATAAGGGGACAAAAAATTTGGGGCTAAAAACAAATTTAACATTTATATATATACCCATCATATTCAGAATGAATCTTTGCAAAGTGAAGCACCTAATGCAAGGGCTGAAGATGTGGCAGGATCATCATCAACCACTGCTCCAGAAAGGGTATGCTCAGAAGTTGGTGATTTTGCACCAGAAGGAGAGAACATCAGCATTGTCAAATCACCATCTTCAAGTACTTGCACTAATAATGTGAACGCTGGTAATCTTCATCAGTGTGTGTGTATATATATTCTTACTTATTTGCTGAATATACTTATACACTAGGAACATTAATTCGCAACAGAAAAATGTGATTTTAAGTCAAATTTGATAGCTTAATAATGTCTTTCCCGAATTTATTAGCTGCCATTTAACATGTCCTCAAATCATGCAATGGATTTGTTTCAGTTGTTTTATTTTTTCTTATAATAAATGCTTCAAGAATTGGCTTATACCGATTTTCTCTCTTCCACACTGTAAAGTGCAAGTGATCTTTATGTAATATTTGAACCTAATTTGATGTCATGTCTGTTGGTCAGCATTTTGTGTCATTAACACCTTAAGTTTGGTGCCAACAAGTTTAAGAATCCGTTTGGCGAAGTATAGTAAGCTAAATAAGCAAAAACTTGCTTATATTTTACTTATGCTGCTGATTGTAAAGCATACTAAACCAATCATGGCTACCAAATAGATTCTAAGAATGTATCAACAGATTTGGGAAGTTGTGCATAACGAAACAAGTGAATAAACTTTTAACTTGTTTATCCAACCAAGGTTTGTTTGAAAATCCGTACTTGAATTTGAAAATTATGAGCCACTCGGCACTCTCTGGGAAGCATGCACATACGATGGGTCATGGGTTACACTAAAAAATTTGGCAACCATTTTAGTTCATGTTTCCTTCAACAACTATTGAGTATGTTTTTGCAGGACATATGCCCCCCCTTGTTAGTGAGGATGAAATTGGTTTAAAAGAAACTGGGGAGCACCACAGTGACCAATCAACCTTGATTCTTAAGGAGGGGTCTAAAGATAACTCCATTTCAAGTGACCAAACAACCATAAACCTCATGGCCAAGATATCTGCTGTCCCGGCCCCACTTGAGCCTCCTTTCAAGATTCAGGAGAATCCAGTTTGTGAGAAGAATCTGCAGCGCGCTGCAACTGCTGAATGTCTTCTGCCTTCAGGTTCTTTGCAGGCCCCACATGCTAAAAGCCACATGCCTACACATTCTTCGCGGGCCCCGCATACTAAAAGCCCCATGACTACGCATTCTTCGCGGGCCCCGCCTGTTGAATGTCTTGTGTCAACACCTTTTTCGTGGGTCCCACCTGTTGAATGCCATGTGTCTACGTCTTCCTCGCGGGCCCCGCCTGTTGAATGCCTTGGGTCTGCGTCTTCTTCGCGGGCCCCGCCTGTTGAATGCCTTGGGTCTGCGTCTTCTTCGCGGGCCTCGCCTGTTGAAGGCCTTGTGTCCGCGTCTTCTTCGCGGGCCCTGCCTGTTGAATGCCGTGTGTCTGTATCTTCTTCGCAGGCCTCACCTGGTGAACGCCTTGTGCCTGCATCTTCTTCTCAGGCCCCGCCTGGTGAACGCCTTTTTTCTGCATCTTCTTCGAGGGCCCCGCCTGTTGAACCCCTTGTGTCTGCACCTTTGCAGGCCCCACCTGTTCATCCCCCAAAAGTTTCTCCACAGCCTGTTGCTTCGCATCCGCCAAGGAGACGCTTCCCATGTTATGGTTGGATCGATAGTGATGACGAGGATGAACCTGAACTCGTGTATTTGCCACGAGTGGGGCCCGCAGATTGTCCGACACAGTTTGGCAAGCATGGAACGAACAATGTGGGGGTTAAACGCCAATCAAGGTGGGATCAAAAACCTGAAAATGTCTAATCTCTAAACACAGTTTCTTGACCCTCTTCTATAAAGCTTTTAACTCTATGAACACTAACTAATGTAAATAAGGTACTACTTCAAGGTTGAAAAGCTTTGATAGGCTGATAGCTGTTTACTCAGATGATTGTGGGAAGATGATATGCATATATATTCCTTTATTAGGACTGCTGCTCTTTACCAGTTAGACCTGCTTCTTTTTCTGTGCTCTCTTCAACTTTATTCGCAGCAAAGCTTGAATGCTGGAACAGTGTCCGTACCATCTGCATACATGGGCGGATCAGGGGTAAAAAGAAAAACTTGCCCACTTTTTTTGGAGGTCTACCATCTAAGCGGATACAGGGTTCAACCCAGGAGCAAAAAATTTCAAATATATAACACGGAGTATAACTTTAATCACATACAAAAGTCAAGTACAAAAAAAAATATTACTAGTACAACTTAAAAGTGTTTTTTTTAACTTAGAAGTGTTTTACAAAAATAAAAGTTTATATCTAAGTCAAACTGAAAAAACACTCTATAAAAAAGTTAGACTATAATAAAAAGGTCTCCGCATCTCACATATGTATTAGAAATGAGAGGGCAAATCATGTCGGTTTGATGAGAACTACTGTCAAGTCCAGACCATTTGGGAGCCATCCTGGTGAATTATTTATGACAGTTTTTTAGCATGTTCTTCCTAAAGTGTAGTTCATTCATACCAAATTTTAGCTAAAAATTTGATCGGGAAGAAGGTTAAATAAATTCTTTACAAAAATTGTGCTATATATATATATATATATATATATATATATATAGGGGTTAGTTCATGTGAGAACACCCTCTTAGGAGAGTAAAAAAGAATAAAACTTCACCATAGATTTATTTGATCTGATGGCCACGGTTGGAGTGGAATTAAAACTTCCATCCACTTATTACGGCATAGTGGGTGAATTTTAAAAGGAAATGCTTCACTGTAATAAATACGTAAGGGCTAAAGGGTAATACTGCATGGGATTTATTTGTTACGTTCATCCGGATTATTTAGTTGTTTCCATATTGATTACAATCTCAATGTTGGAGAATAAGATAAGTGCATTAATGACCTAAAATATTGAAAATAATACATGAAAGTGCAATGTATTGATTACTACGTACAAAAATTTATTTATTTATAATATGTAATGTGCATAACATATAATACATATGTGCAGACTTAATAGTGCATGTGAAAATAGATATATTGCAACGAATAATTTGAAAAGTGATAATACTATTGAATAATGTGCACAAGAGATTTGTTTTATACTGTGTGCATTTGATTTAGTAGATATGTGCACATTAGATTAATATATTAATGAACCTCAATTGTTTACGTTCTTAAGTGCACTTTTATACGAGTCAATATATATTGCACTTTTTATCTCATTAACATGCATTGTCTATTCATTAATATATATCTTTTTCATGCATTTGTGCACTTCTATACTTTAAATCTTATACTTATTGAAACACTTTAATTGAATTCTTATGCACTTTTAACATGTATATGTGCAACTTGTATGGTTAATCTCGTTTAATATTTTTTATTTTAGTATTTGTGCACATTTTAATAAATTAAGTTGCACTTTTGTAACTATCACTTTTTATCTCATTAAGATGCACTTTTAATACATTAACTTACTCATTATTAGTGCAATTTCGTAAATTTTATCTTGAAATAAAATTGAAAATGAAGAGCAGGTTATCAACTAACAACCAATAAGTGCACTTTAAATCTATAAAAAGAAGTGCACTATTGCATCTCGATCAATTTCTAAAATTCTAATTGATTTATTTTTACAAAATAAAATGCAAGTTTTCCACTTCTCTATGGTGATGGTTCCATCCTTTGGATCCCACTATAAAGAATACACGTATATGTAGAGATTGAATCATTATACCTATAAATACATTAAAAAGCTATACAAAACTAGTCAAATCGCACCTAATAGGAAACAAAAAACAAATTAAAATAAAATTAAGTGTCATACATAAACTTCAATAACGGTGAATGGAAAGTTGTAATTTCTGATGTCCATTGAACAATTGAAGTAAAAAAGAAATAATTTATGAAGATAACGAACCAAACGTGTGCAAAAGAGAAATTGAAAATAAAATAAATGGAGTCATGTAAAATGGTAAAGATGAGAGAGTCAGAGAGAGAAGTATGGGTGACCGTTTTGGAAAGAAACGGACTGCATTAAGTATTAGGAGAAATCACCTAATTGCCCTCTACGAAAATTTATTAGAAATTAAAATAGATGCTTCATCCAATGGCTCACATCTACTCTTTTTTACTCTCCTAAGATTAAGTTCTCACATGAACCTAAATCTATATATATATATATATATATATATATAGTGAGAACCCCTCTTAAAATGAGAACCCCGAGAACCGGTGGTATTTTTGGCTGAAATTTTTTGTGTATGTTCCTCATCAAGTCTAGTTCATCCACACCAAATTTGAGCCAATTCAATTTATGTATAAACAACACAATTTGTTTCAAAAATTCATTTGATTGCATTCTCGATTGAATTTTAAGTTGAAATTTGGCGGGCCTGAACACATTTTATTTTTTCAGTAGACTTGATGATGAATATGGCAAAAAAATATAATAAAAAAATTCCATCGGGAAGAGCCCCAAATGCCCACGGCCAGACGGTGAGTCCTGTCAGGCCGGCCTGACACCAATAGTGCAAATGAGCCGAGCCAAGCCCGAATCTATGTAGGCTCGAGCTCGAAATATATTGTATTGGCTCGAGCTCGGTTTGAACGAGCTTACAAAATCGGGGCTTGTGCTCGACTCGCAAGTATTTAGATGGCTCAATTGGCTCAATAATTTTGGTTCGTCAACTCAAAAGTTACAAGTTTGATTAGCTCGAAAGTTCGGGTTCGAACTCGAGCTCAAGTATGAAACAATCTTTGAATATTTGTGCTCAACATTTAGAAATTGCAATTTACATGCCCATCAACTAAAAGTAGAGTAAATGTTGTTCAAAACAAAATAAAAAATGGTGAAATTATGAAAATTAAATTAAAACTAGAGTTATGACAACGAAAAATAAACAAAAAATAATCTAAACTCCAAGTCTCCACCCAATTATACTTCTAATTTAAATCAAAAGTAATCAAACCATGAAGAAATATTGGATGAAACTTTGATTATTTTTTTTAAATTACTTTATAATTAATAAAAACTCCCTTAGTCCTCATAGACATTTACCAATCGGTGTTATATAGTAATATATATATATATATATATATATATATATATATATATATATATATATATATATATTATCAATATACTATAGTTACCAATATATATTATATATTAATTTATATTGTGTATTAATATATTGTATATATTAATATAAATATACACACATATAAAACTAGGCTCGCGAGCGGCTCAATAGATCATATATGTTTTGAAAACTTTGAGGATTTTGTTATTGAATATATTAAAAACGTGTCATATAAATAAAAAAACATCAATTAATTCTAACATGGTAATAATTGGTATATAATTTCATAATTAATTACTATAAAGTATAATATAATATTCTTATATCTTACCTTTTCACGGTACTATATCATATTATTTATGTTTAGAGCTATTCAATTTAATCAGAGTAATGTCCGGCAAACATTGGCAATATAGATAAATTTAGAGATAAATTCTCAAATAGGAGTAAAACATGGTACAAAATGTAAACAAAGGAGTAGGTTTACAAAATTCTCAAAATTTTGCAATTCCTATTGTTTGATTAATTGCTAATACTCCCAAGTCCAAACACTTTTGATATTCCTTTTTATTGAGATTTCTATTTTAGTGTATATGATTTTTTAATAGATAAATTGTGATATCGCTTGTCTAAATGACTTAAGAGGTGTTTACTTTGTTGCTAAAGTGACATTTAAGTTAGTAAGATAGGTGAGGTAAACACACAAATTGCTTAAAAACTGTTTACTAATCGAAAGAGGTGTAATATTGATATTACAATATTAACATTCAGAAAGAGGTTAAAACAATATAAGAATCATAGGCAACCGTCAAGTTCAGAAAGAGGTTAAAACAATATGAGGACCATAGACAACCGTCAATAAAGAGGTCATAACATTGATTAACGTTTGTGTTATCCATATTAGTTCAGTAACTAGTCTCTACTCTCTACTCTCTACTCTCTAGTACTACACCATTTTTTTTGGAAGAGGGGGCCTTACATTGATATAAAAGTATTAACATTCATAAAGAGGTTAAAACAATATAAGGATCATAGACAACTGTCAACCCTCGAACTAGACTTAGAGTCAATCACTTTCAGAGAAGCAATATAACTCGTTGATCCTATAAGGCTGCCCACAACCCGCTCCCGTCAATAAATCAAATTTACTAGCATTTTATATGTATTCACTAAGTCAATCAGTTTTTCTCTGCAACCCAGCACCGTCAATATATTCACTCTGCACAGTTTCTTTTAAATGAATGTATAAATCCTTACTTTTATTATCACACATCAATTATATGACACATTTTTTTACAAATATTTATTATTTAAAAAGGCAAACATTTCGATGTAAAAAAATAATTTTTTTCGTAGGTATTTTTTTGTAGTTTTCAAACAAAATATGTACTGCTATATATTATTATAAATTGTACTTGTTGAATATAAAGATGAATAAATTGAAACAAAACTTGATCAATTTAAATACTAACAATAAAATACAAAAAAAAACCATAATGTTGATTACGATAATATAAAGGAGAAACAAATCCCTAATGCATAACAATAAAAGGAAAACCACAAACATTAGTGGTATTATTGAAGCAAAAGTGCACGAAAACAACAAAAAACAAATACATAACCAACTACATGCCATTCCCGTGATGCGCCCACAAATGATCAATGAGGCCATTTTTTAGAGCGGGGTGCACCGAAGAGCTCCTAATGCGATTATGTCGCATCATGTAGTCATTTAGAGTGGGGGCATCATGATTAAGATCAAATTCAATGTGTGGACCAATATAGTTATAGTCATCTATAATCTTGAGCACTATAATCTTGAGTACCCGGATCATCATCAGTTTCTTCATACTCATCTTCCACAATCATGTTGTGTAGGATAATACATGTGAGCATGATATCACCTAAAGTCTGTGTCTCATACGATCGGGCGGCACCTCTTAAAATAGTGCATCTCGTTTGTAAAATGTCAAATGCTCTTTCGACATCATTACGATAGGCCTCCTGCTTAGCAGCAAAGAGTTGTTTCTTAGGGGTGTCCGGGTGGCTAATTGTTTTAACAAAAGTAGCCCATGTGGGATATATCCCTTCGGCTAAGTAATAACATTGATTGTACAAGTTATTGTTTACCGTATAGTGGACTTGAGGAGCAAAGCCATTCACAACTGCATTAAACACGGGGGAGCTTGCAAGCATGTTAAGGTCATTGTTAGAACCAGCTGTACCTAAAAACGCATGCCATATCCATGTATCATATGAAGCAACAACCTCATGCCCTATAGTTGGTTTGCGCTTGTACGCAGTAAACTGGCCTGCCCATGCCGTTGGACAATTTCTCCATTCCCAATGCATACAGTCAATGGAACCAATCATACCCGGAAATCCCTTCTTGGATGCCTTCTCTAGTAGGCGGTGGAGATCATCGGGATTGGGTGATCTTAGGTATGAAGAACCGTAAATCCCAATAATTGCCTTACAAATTTTTTTAAGACACGACAAAATTGTGGTCTCCCCCAAACGACAAAGTTGATCTAATGAATTAGCCGAGCAACCATTTGCAGGCATGAATATTGCACTTGTTAATTTTTGTTGAAGGGAAAGAGATACCTGGTTGAATGCATCTATCTTCGGTGCAAAGAAAGAATCGAAACACACCACATCGTTCATGATGCGGTCAAACAAACCAGGTAGCATTCGAAAACACCTACGGAATATATGAGCGTTTTAAGTTGGGTTGGGATTCCAGTAGTCATCCATCAAATGACGGTGGCCTTCTTCCCTCTCTCGATCAATGTACTCACGACCACCTGAGTTTGAACTGATAAGTGCTACCATCATAGCCATCCTCATGTGATGAGACTCGGCTTGACCGTTTTCATACTCGTCTAGTGCGTCTTCCATTGTAGGATAACAACTAATGAGAAAGGACTATATTTTAATGTATATAGAATAGGAGGACAATTGGGTGTTAGTACAATGTGAAATGAGACATGTATTTACTCTTACATGTAAAAGAAGTTGGTTAAGATATTTTACATATTATACTTATTTGATGTGAAATATCAAAACAAGTGGGTATGACATTTTTTCAAGTGGAAAAGATAGTACAAAGTTGATGTGAAATGAGTGAGCAAGTGGGTTTGACATTTTTTCAAAGTGGAGAAGATAGTACAAATTAAACTTGATGTGAAATGAGTGAGCAAGTGGAGCTTTATTCAACCATTAAAATTAAAGTACATAGTACAATTTCAAACTAATAAAATAAGCTACAACTTATTAAAATTAAAGTACGTAGTACGTAATTAAAAAGTGAAAAATTGAAAGACATAATTAAAAACAAGCAATTGAAATACAAGTCCGGAGATCCCCTAGTCAAATGTGGGGAAGTACTTCCGAAGTAGTCATCTCCTTCATCAGAACCGACACCATCGTTACTCGGGACATCTTGATCGTAACCCAAGATTGCATTTTGTTGCTCTCTTAGCCATATTTGCTTCCTCGGTGAGTACTAAGAGATGTCCATGGTTATGATCTCTATATTTTTCTGCTTTAGAGTCATTTAAACATTGCCTCTCGCCGCCTCATACCTCTCTGCTCTACTCTTCTCCATTAACTCACCTTGATTTACCAATTTCTCCATGAACTCAAACATTACGGGGTCCATTTTGGAAGTCTTGGTTTTGGCTATTTTCTTCCCCTTTTGTTTGTCACGCCCCTCGGGTCGACGTAGTGGACCACTTATGCCGTCCGAAATAGAGGAACCACTACTTCCCCCAACAAATGTGTCGGGAGTGAGTGAAGGCATGGGTGTAAAAGTCGGATTGGTATCGTATTGTTGATACCACTTCGGACATGTGTGAAGGATATGCCAAGCGTGATCAAACTTAAATGGTTTGTCATTATTGTCATTCCCACAAAAATTGTTTTTGCTTGTTGCGCCTGCAAATCACAACAATAATTAACAATGTTGATGAATCATTAACTACGTACATACTACTTAGGAAGTATATAATACTAATTACCACGTACATATTACTTAGGAACTATATAATACTAATATATTTATATACTAGTTTTGTGACGCGCGTTGCACGATTACCTTAATACCCAATAATTTTTCACTTGATGTAAACATTTGGTTTAATTCTTGGTTAGTGAAAAAATGATGGAGATTGTATATGGAATTACTTCTGGTAGTCTAGTAATTGACCAAAAATATATGTAGACATAAGAATATTAATTACCATATTAGAATGTGATTTTATACAAAAGAGATAATGGAGTTAGAATCATGGGCATAAGTGATGTTATAATACGTAGTAATAATAAAAAATGATAAAATACAAAAAATCATTTATGAGACAAATCCATGTATAATGACCCCTTGGTGTTATACTTATCCTTTTTTTTTTGCGAAACATGAAACTTATATTATTCACTGTTCCTGCAAGTATATCAAATTATGACAAACTGCAACAAAAATATTCTTAAGAATTTAGCAAATCGATAGCTGTTGTCGGGGGCATATCTATTAGGATCTGCAAGTTATGTCCTTGCAATCATATAGGATCTGCTCTAATGCCATACTGCCATTAAAATTAGATTGACTGGCTCGGTTGAAAATTACTTGTGAGATGACCAACTTCTCAATACACTACATAACCCCTAATTTGGCCGATTTTATTTCTACAAATTCATTAGTTGCTTATACACATTCCACTATGCATTAACTTTCCAGAGCGCTGAGATGAGGAATGTGAAAAAAAACATATCTTATACTGATGCAGAATGCTCTTTTTCCTCATGTTGATGGTATGGTATTTTACTCCATCTTCTTCAACTACCTCACTAATACATAAAGCATTGCATGGATATGAGTCATCCTCTAAAATTTTAAGAGCCATGTCTGGGTCACAACCAGGTTCATCCCGATGCCCCTGTTAAAAGTCCTCCTCATTTTAGCATCTTCAATTGACATGCCTCTTTAATCCATTTGAATACAGGAGAAACTACCATGGAATCATTATAAATAACAGCTCCCTAACTTTTAAGAAATATGCGAGATATATTATTGTAAAACCACCTCCTGTGATGTGAGCTATCCCTTTAACTCTATCTTTATTGATAATCTCGAGTACCAGCTCAACAAAAATGACAATTGGGGCCATTAAAGCTTCACCCTTTGTAGTAGAGCTGCCAGAAAGTTGGTCATTCAAAGAAAGGACACTTTGCTTGAGCACCTTCTGATAAGGAAAAATCCATTTGAATGAATTGCACTATATGGAAGACTAACGAGGACATTTTCATCAATAATATTTCTCCCATATATCAATAATTGCATCATATGTTCTCCCAATTAAACTCTACATACTCTTTTCATATAATTGGGTTAAGCGGCCATAAAAAACGGAAAGACTCCAACCTAGACAAATTGACAAACACGTTGTGTGCTGCATAACAGCAAAATGTTATTTGCATGATTAAACCAAGTTGATTTTAATTTTTTTAAACCAGAGCTCCAAAAGGTTGTTGCTATTTCTCTCATCTTACCTGCATCCTTTTTTTTTTTGAAAAGAAACAAGACCATCACATGAAAATCACCAAAGAAGAACTACACATGTTGATTTCTCCTAGCTTGTTTTGTGCCAGCTGAGAGGAGGAACTCTGGATGGATTGTTGGTGCGCTATTTTGTGCTTGTGCGAAGAAAGAGGGATAAACCGATGCTTCTGTTCACCGTAGAGGATTAACACCATTTGCTGCATCTAGGAGAAGAGAGAATTTGGCAGTTCTGATTTTCCTATGAAAGCTGAGCAAGCGCCGATCAAGAGAAGTCTGCGGCTATTTCTTCCAAGGAGTATACATCAGCGTTCGAAGCTTCAAAGGAGACCACCGTTATGTTGCTGTCGAGATAAGCGTCCAGGATAAAACGGAAAGACGAACTATTAACCAAGAGTACAAACGGTAGAGTCTAATGTACAACTCAATTAAGCAACAAGTTACACCAACATTTTTTTCATACCTAAATTGCCCTAACCTTGATTCACTATTATAAGATTGTATGTATTGTAGATAGTATCTAAATTTTAGTGTTATACTTACATAGAATATACTATAGTGTAGAATAAGATTCTAGTGTTATATTTACGTAGAATAATGCTAATATATTTATAAACTATAGTAATATACATAGAATACTCTAGTAATATTCTAATTTAGAATACGTACTCTAGTAATATACTCTAGTAACATCTAATCTAAAATATTATAAACAACAATGAAGGTTTGGGTATTTTTGGTACATTAAATGTGTTGGTGTAACACAAAGCATTATCATCTTGTACATTATGCTCTTATCATTATACATATGGTATTGCTCTTATTTTACTCCGTTACCTCCGTTAATATCCAAGTGTACATTGTGCTTAGTCGTCTCTTCCCTGACTTGACATTGTTCATTCATTCTCAGAGTTTTTTAATTTAATTTTTCCCATTTCATTTAATTTCATTTAATTTGGAATTTTAAATGTGTGGTGCCTTTTCAGGCAAAAAAAAAATGTGTGGTGCCCTTCATTATCGTTTGAGCTATCTCATTCCTACTACTCAAATTAATTTATAATCGTTCCAATTGGATTTTAGAATGAGAATTTTCCTTATAAGCTTTGGATCAGTTTTGCAAGAAAGTAGATCCGTAATGTGAAGCGTCAAATAGAAACGATATCTATTACGTGTACATTATGCTCTTATCATTATACATATGGTATTGCTCTTATTTTACTCCGTTACCTCCGTTAATATCCAAGTGTACATTGTGCTTAGTCGTCTCTTCCCTGACTTGACATTGTTCATTCATTCTCAGAGTTTTTTAATTTAATTTTTCCCATTTCATTTAATTTCATTTAATTTGGAATTTTAAATGTGTGGTGCCTTTTCAGGCAAAAAAAAATGTGTGGTGCCCTTCATTATCGTTTGAGCTATCTCATTCCTACTACTCAAATTAATTTATAATCGTTCCAATTGGATTTTAGAATGAGAATTTTCCTAATAAGCTTTGGATCAGTTTTGCAAGAAAGTAGATCCGTAATGTGAAGCGTCAAATAGAAACGATATCTATTACGTGTAAGAAAAACGATATCTATTACGGATTAAGGATCGTCGTTGTTGGTGTTGTTGTTAATTATTTGAATTTGTTTTGAATGGTATGTGCGATTTTCAATCCGGGATCTGAAAAAATGAAATGTATCGGTATAGGATACGAATGATGAAGAACTATCAACCAAGGACCTAACATTTTGTAGGTTTTGATTTATTTATTTATTTATTATTTATTCAATAACTAATTTTTGGTAATTTTTTTTTCACAAAAGTTTATTAGTTTAATAAAGCTAAATAATATTTTTAATTTTTTAAAATAACAAAAATTATAAAATTCATGACAACTAAGGTCCTAGATTGATAGATTTCAATCACTTTTTCTTTTAAAGCAATTTTCTGATCTGATCTGAATGCTTCTGATCTGATCTGAATCTTTCTGATCTGATCTGGTCTGAATGATTCTGATCTGATCTGATCTGAATCTTTCTGATCTGATCTGAATTTTTCTAATCTGATCTGATCTGAATAAAATAAGAATAAGCAATAAGTAATAAGAATAAGACGAATAGAACAGCACCTTAGTTCATTTATCTCTCATATTCACAAACCTCAAATACATAGTTTTTACTGTTCTAACTTTACACAAAATATCAAATATGGAATACGAAGTATACATTTTAGATATTTTTTGAAATATTAATTTCCCATTTTATATATCCGATTCTCATGCTTGTGTTTTGCTTTCATTTGAAATAGGCATAGGGTATATGCATTTTAGGTATATGCTTTCTTGTAAAAACACTTTTAAATATTTGATAAAATAGCATAGGAAAATATGTTGGGTGTATGGACCTGAAAGATAGAAGAATTATCGATCTGGACTTGAAAGATGAAATATATCGATATGAGACCCGAATGATGACAAACTATTAATTTAGGACCAGAATGATTGAAAACTATCAATTTAGGACTTAAGTTGTCATGAATTTTATTATTTTATTATTTTAAAAATTTATAAATATTATTTAGCTTTAATAAACTGATAAACTTTTGTGAAGAAATGTTAACATATCAATTGCTAAAAGTGATTATATCAAATTGATATACAAAATACATGCATATTTTTTTAATAAAAACATATTGGGCATTTTATTCAATCGCGCAACACGC